AGACGTCTAGTACGACGACGTCGTCTCCAGGGTCAGACCCAACATCTGGTGAAGTGGCGGGGATAATCCGACTCCGAAAACTCGTGGGAGTTTGTGGCGTCACTTCGGCAAGCTTGCCCAGTCGCCGTGGACGCTTTCGATCGGAAAGATCAGGACGTCCCGCGTCATCAGACGCCCCGAGCTTTCCGGCAATAGCCAGGGAAGTAGAAGGGCCATGAGCTGAGCGTAAGCAGTAGCTCTGAGCTCTTGTGGTCTTGGACACAGAGCTCGCGAGAGCATTAGGGGTTGTTAACCCATACGTCGCAGGGCGACAATCCGAAGAAAGTCGACGGCGTGCCTTGCGTTTGACAAAATGGAAGCTGAGGTGTCGCTCCACACGCACGTCCACTTCCTTGTGGCTCAACTGCAGGTTATACAGAGAGGAAAGTTTCCGGTGCTGTTGCACCCATCGCTCAAAGAGCACTTCATCATCTGTAGCGCTTTTGCCAGAGGCGAGCACTACAGGTATTGTCTGCATTGCGAGTACACGAGAGCCACCTCGTTGTGCACTCAGACGAACGCGATAAGCTTCCAGCAAAATTTCTTGTGGGATCAAGAAACGAGCTCGAAGAGCTTTCCGTGTGGCAAGTTCATTATCCGTTCTGGCCGGGGGCCCGATGATGTGGACGCGTAACGATTGAGTTACTGCGTCTCTTGCTCCACACGAGGATCAATGACCGGCCGTGAATGGGCGCATTTTTGAGCCGCCTTTTGGGCAGCTTCAAGCTGCCGCCTCTGTTCCCCGTCGAGGTCATTGGTAATCACACCTCGTGCCTCAGTTGACGAGAAGTCAGGGAATGGACATGGGGTCCGCAAGACACGAGCAGGGTTCGTATCGCGCCGCTGGCGCAGCTCGTCTTCCTCGTCATCCCATGCGGAAAAAGGAGTGTCAGACGCATAGTCGACCACATCCTCGACGAGGCCACTCGGCACTGAAAGCGTGCGCGGAGTGTGACGTTTGTGCTCATTGAGCCTGAGATATACACCTCTCGGTGCTGCGGACGCACTGTCCGACGTTGCACCGAGTGCAAGAGATGAAGTTGGGCTCTGCCCATGCTCGCCGTCAGAACCGG